TTATTATACATGTTATTTGAGTATTGTGTAAAATTATGATTTATAACCCTTTGAAATATTCCATTATATAAACCTTCAAAGTATTACGTTATATAGACCTTCGAAATATAAACCTATGAAGTATTACGTTACATAGACCTTCGAAGTATTATGTTACGTAAAACTCTGTGAACCTCGTAGGTTTATGAAAACCTACATAACGTAAATTTTCGAAGTACTCTGTTATATTTAAATTCGCGATGAAATAGGTACAAAAATCGACCAAAACCCAACATAAATCCTCCTGATGACAATTCTGAACAAAGTGTTGATAAGCCTTCTGAATTTTCTGAATATACTACTGAAGAAGACAATATTTCAGGTAGTAGTAGTAATAGAAATGAATTGGATGATGGAGAAACAGATGATGATAAAAATTACGAAACATTTGAGAATTATGCATCATCTGATTATAAGCTATTTCAGGACCCACCAGATCTAGGATCAATAATTGATAACTGAATTTTATGGATTTTGCTCTGGATTATGACATTTTGGATAAGATTCAACATAATGGGAACAGCAACTGATGCTTTGATAAAATTTATGAAATTAGTCTTGACAGAAATCAGTGAAGATGATTTTAGAGACTTTTCAGATTCAATGTACTTAACAAGGAAAAAACTTGAATTAAAAGATCATTTTCATAGCTTCGTTTCTTATCCGAAATGTCATAAGCTGTATAAAAAACAGGAAGTGATAAATTTTAGACAAGAAGATTCACTTGCTATAATAAAGTGCCGATATGTAGAATTTCCTAATTCGTCACTCTGTAAATCATAACTTTGCAATATAACTATATCTCAAACCATCAGTGTTTCGGCAAATCGAGTAGTAATTCAACCTAATTTAATATTTCCATTTTTTGAAATCAGACAACAACTCGCTTTGATGTATTGTCGGCCTTGTTTTAAAAATTGTTTGAGACAATAGGCAAATTGTCAGCATTATAATAATATTAGGACTGATATATATGATGGTCAAGTATGGCAGACATTGAAAGAATCTTCTGAAGAAAATTCGCAAAATTTTTTTAGAGATGAA